GGCTCACATACGAGGATCGCCTCCCCCAAAAACTGACAGAGTCTCATCCCAGTCATCATCATCTCTCCTTTATTCTCAATCCACGCATTCGTAGTCGTCCTCCTCCTCCCGCATTCCTTCTCAGTCAGTAGCTATTCGATAACTGCAGCACAATTGAATATTTGAGAGGACGGAAAAGACGGAGACGACCAAGGAGTGAAGAAAGGTGTTTTCGGGGGTGGTGGTGGTGGTGGTGGTGGTGGGGGAAGTGTGGTTAGGTATGTTGGTTGGCAGGCATTTTCTCAAAGTGAGTGACACATCTTTTAGCAGACAGGAATTAAAGTGTTTAATAAAGAAAAGCCATTTTTCGTTTAGAATTCCACTCTTCACAACAATACCTAATGCGAGTCTTGATTACTTTGCTTTCACCAGTTGGCTTCCATCAATTGTCACCCGCGAATTGTCTGCTCCTCATTATTCACGAGGGGGAAGTTGTGCTTTATTAATTTAAAAAAGCGCATCAATCATCATCCTCACCCATTTCCGTAATTGCGACGCGGGCAGAGCAGAGTCGTGACTGGGCTGAGTGACAGGAATGGAAAAATATTGATTTCATCATTTATGTCGCAATAAAAATGGTCTGACCAAACAATGGAATGAAATAGAATGAAATTCGAGATGGCACACGATGGAGGAGCTATTTTATTAAGGGAATAAATAAGGAAAATGATGTCATCTCAATCCAACTCTAAAATGTTTTTATTGCTACGAAAGTTAAATGAAGAAGCGCCGGGTCGATGGCTGTGGACGATAACCTTAAATTGGATTGGATAATTGGAAACATGCATATTCCATGCGGTGGAAGGAGGCATATTCAGAGAGGCGCGCCACCGCACACTCCAACGCACCTGTCGACGACGTTGTAGCGCAATCAGGGACCGATTACAAAACATTGCAAACTCGACTCTTGTATATAGAGTGGCCATCACGATGCCCTCGTAAATTGTTCATGTTTCCTTTATGAGAAACTGCTCCACTTCAAATAGGAATTCCAGTTTACAAAGACATCTTTTAATCGAGGTAAACATTTCCATCCCAATTTGGCCAAATTGCGTTCCCATGTTTTGTTATTTTACCTGCCCATCAAAATCAACTCTTGTTGTGTCAACAGAGTTCATGCCACCTATAATTTCCAGGGAGGCTTGAGGCTCCTCAAGCTTCGCTCGTTGGCTGGCTGGCTGATAAAGGAAAATAGGCGACCAAACCAGACCAGCAGGCGAGCGAATGGATTCGTTTCATCATTAGGTTTCTCCTCCGCATTGACAAAATGTTCAGCTTTCTTTGTTTTCGACATTTCCTTTGATTACGCAACAAGGTTCAAGTGAGACGACTCAATAAACACGGAGACCATGCATCAGAAAGCCAATGTCAGTCCGCTCTTGTCACCAAGCATTGTCAAGTCTCTCACCACCACCACTTTTCATTTCAAAAAACTTTACAAGCACGCAAGGCTCTTGTGATTTTTAATGAAGTGTGACAAAATATCTCGTCGTGGTGTGATGACTTGAGAAATGAGTTGGAGAACTCAATCTCATTGCAAAATAGTATATACATTTGTGGTATATGCATGCTTCTATTTGTGGAAGATACGTAGGACACTGAGGTCGAGGTGGAGTGACTCTGTCTGGCCATCTTGAGACACAATGTTCATTAACACGCTGATGGAAATTGTCACATCGGGTCACTCCATCCATCCGGAAAAGTTGGCAAAAGTTGTAGTTGAGATTAATGTCTTGAGTCATATAATAATGTCTCTTTTCTAATATTCCTGTCCCCACGAAATTTCGAAAATAATTTTCACATTACTTTTATATATTTTTTAAAAGAGAAATTTATCAAACCACAGTTACATATTTTTAAACTATCATCCAGCGACTCTTGGAATTATTTTTAGCCGCAAGACTTCTAGATTTATTCAATATTTATCAAATTACGCTGTTTCTACCCACAACTTGAGCGAGCAGGAAGGCCTGGAAATTACGTAGTAGCAATAAATCTGCTTAACAATTCTCACGTCATGTCCCGTCAGGTGAAATTAAAACTTGAAGTAATTTGAACAGACGACTTGTTGAATTGTTAACAATTTGACAATTACGAATTACGACGAACGAGATACATACCTACATAAAACTAGAGTTTCGCCGTACGCATGTATGTGCATGGCAGGCAGGATATACATAAGTAGGTTCATCCCCGCCTAAGCTAGGCACATATCAATAACAGCTATCAAACGAGACCAATTCCACCCTGGTCGTCGTCCTGACATTTAATTCATTGCATGCACCCGTGACTAATTTCAAGGAGAGGAATTTAATTGGTTGAGATCGGTTGGTTGCGCTGTTGCGACTCAACCATTGTTTAAATTTATACAATGAGGAGAGGTTTGTCTAACTCCTCGTCGTGCCTGCGTGGATGGAGGTAACTTTTATGGAAGGGTAATCCCCCGAATTAGAATAAGGTGAACAATTTGGCCAAGTGTTTAATAAAATTGGCGAGAAATAAATAAAGAGAGATAAATTACCTGCTCATTCAGCCAGGCTTTCGTGGTTGCTGGCCTGGCTGGTGGAAGGAGAGGAGGAAGAGACAGAGAAATCACACTCCAAACTTTAGAGCAGTTTGGCCCGGAAAATGAAATGAAAGTACGTTGCAGTGTTAAACACATTCCTAATTGTAATTGGTGAAATGGGAACGAGAATAAATTTCCCAGACATCCTTCGTCCTATCTGTCACCTGCTTAACTAAACCGGAAGATTGTTTTAACTTGGCTGAGATAAAATGTCAGGATTTTCTCAATTTGTCTGGAAGAAAGAGAGAAAGTGGGGAAGCAGTAAATTCAATGATGCGATGGCGTATGTATATACCTGAGGCCAGACTAGTTTAGTGCCAGGATTGCCTACATTTTAGAATTAGTAAGGGAATATTTCACACAATGGAGTTTATGTATCATTGTAATGAAAATGAGACAGGCGATACGCTCAAATTGGTGTGTCTATTTATAAAATCTAGAAAAAATTGAGCCATTCGCCCTCCAAAGAGATCCCTCTCCTTCCTTCGATATCTCGATATTGCATTGAAACAGTAAGTTGTTTTGAAGAACGTAACCGTTACATCTCGACTCTGGCACTTTGTGCTGCTTTGTTGTCCACTTGTGTACGAGTTTGTGGAGGGAGAGGAAGAGAGAAAAAAGTCCTTGGGAGTAGTGTGGGACAGTTTGTGTTGAGGAGTTCAGGGATTATTTTGGTCCTCGGGTGGTTGTGGAGGAAGGGCGGCTAAGGTGTTGAGAGGAAAGGGAAAGACAGATTAATAAGGCTTTGTAATGGATTTCCTTTTTTATTCTTTCACAACTTTCCCTCTTCGTGCCACATGTGTCTCCTCTGCATCATTACCACGGCCTCACAACACACTCTTTAATCTCTTCTCTTCACTTATCACTGAACTCAGGAAGGCTATTATGACCCTGGTCGCGTCTCTCTCTCTCTCTCTCTCTCTCTTCGCAGAGTCAATACAGGGCCAGCTGTGCACCAACGTCCATGATGCCATTCCATAATGCCATACCTCCTCCTCCCAGTTCCGCTACTACTACTTTCACTTTCCACTTCTGCATTCTCAAGAATTCTCGCCCAGCCAGCCAGCACCAGATACATGTGTGTGTGTGTGTGTGGGGTGGAAGGTGGTGGGTGGATGCACACGGAAAACCAAAACGGATTAATTCCATCTTTTCTCCTCTCCGTATGACAAAGAGGAGGCAGCAGCTTTTCCCAGCCGTCATCATCATTTTGCCCAAAAATTTCCATATTCTTTCCTCTTCTCCTCATACTCTTTTAAGAAGGAGAGGAATTTTCGCTAGGAGAATCTTTCGGATTTATTATAATAAGACTGTTTGTACATCCCGAAATGTATCAATGGTCTCTTTGATGTCATTATAAAATGGTTGCACCTCTTTCGAACCGTTCTTATGCTACACATATCTTCACTCCGACTGCTTTTCGTGGTGGTGAGGCGGGCGAGTATTTGTTTAGCAGTTGAACCCAGGATGAGTCAAAGGCTTTAGACTTTCTCTTAACTCTCTCCCTCGTAACGTATTAGCCGTGGTGGAGAGACGAGGCTGGTAGTGCTGCTGCCTGCTGATGGTAGTATTGGCCAAGAATGGCGTTGTATTGTATCCGTCCATCCATTGAATCGCAGCATTCCTTTGTTTTGTCGTCGTCAGTGATGAACCACTTCTTCTTCTTTGGAGTTCTATGGTGCAGAAGATCCTTTGAATTTTAGTTGAGCAGAGCAGAGCAAAGTGAGTGAGTGAGTGAGCTTAAGCTGCTAAAGGATGAAGGTGGTTGGTTTCTTGACGATAATTTATTTTATGTCTTCTGTTTGTTTCCGCTGCCAGACTTCTTAGCGGACCATGTATGCCATGGCTGGCGAGCGAGCGAGTGAGCTGCTGGCTGGCGACGTTTTAAAGAAGAGGCACAAATGAAATTTTCTAAATTCTTTACCCTTTTAAATACTGGCCAAAGTTGTGTAATTTTCTGGTGGTAAAGATATTGAGATTCGTGCCAAAGGTGAAGTGGTGGGAGCGATTAATTTAATGGAATGCGCAACACACTGCTTTCACTTGAATCTCGGATTATGTATCCAGTTTATTTTGGTTACTTTGAAGCAGATACAATTTAGCGGTCGCTTACATACAATTGTAGAGACATGTGAAATGCCATTGGGTAAAAAAAACTGTAAAAATTTGTGACGACAAGTCCACGAGTTATTTACTTTCATTTGCCTCTCTTTTCTAAATGGGCTGCGAAGAGGGACGCAATGTTGAGGCGGATCAGGCTGATAATTTGTACTGTGCCTGGCAAGCGTGCCCACTGCTGTCCGTGCAGCCGTGGTCGAGTGATGGGAGGAGTCGGGGGAAAGACAAAGGTTGAAATTTCACTTGATTAAATATCTTTACTTTGATTCCTTTTCAGCAAAAGCGAGAAGTACGAGGAGGCCTTAGAACATTTGGAAGAGTGCCTGAAAATAGATCCGTCTCACGTGGAAGCCTTACAGTATTTGGGTGCCTGTTACAACGTGCTAAACAAGACACACGAAGCTGAAAACGTCTTCAATAAATTGATTAGTTCTGATCTTCCGCCATCAATATTGCACACTAATTTCGGAGTATTTCTTGAAGAACTGGGTAAGTCACACTCACTTTGAGCAATCCAACCTGCTTTTCTCTCCCTCTCTCCACCCAATCCAATCAAGAATGTCTTCTCCTCCGCGTGTCCTCCTTCCGCTCAGAAGGACCAGGACTACATTGCAGTGCTATGTATGTAGGTCCCGAAAATCGGGAAATTGTTTTGCTATCTTACCTTCCTAATAATTCCCAGTTTGTAGTCTGCAGCAAGAATTTCTCCTCTCGTGGTAGAAAATTATATCCCTCCGCACATTTCTCCAATTGTAATGGGACAAGTTAGTGGCCCTAATTGGGAAGGAAGACGTAGAGGAAGGAGAGCGAGATACCTTCCTCGTCGACTTTCTCCTTCCTTAACAAAGAGTTATGAGCAGAGAAAGCCACCACCACCATCAACAAAGTATCATGGGAGAAGATGCACTTCTTGACTAGTACAAATTCCCTTCATTTGCATTTCAAACTTAGTTTTGGCCCCCTTATCATTTATTATCACGAGATGGAATCGATGATACAGTTGGATGAGTACTCATCTGTTTTATGGGAGGATCAAAGCAAGAATGTGCCTACTCAGCGGCATCTAATACGTGCACGAGGATGTTCCTGTACGAATTAAAAATCAAGCAAGCCTTTCAATTTGCCACCTTTCAAAGGGATCCTTAAAAATCAAGTGGATCTTTCCATCCTCCAAATTGCCGCTGTGCTTATTAGTGTAGCGCTTTTGAGCCAAATGGAAAAATATGAATGCCATAATATCAACGCATTGCTTGCTGATTGGAATACCCAAATAGAGAAAGTCAGTTATTACTTTCATCCTGCAAACCTTCCAGAGCAAGTTGTCATCAAAAGTGAATAGTAAGGTAATGAGTTGTCCAAAGTACGAAAACCACTTTCCCCACACCAGTTTATAAAGTTAGGCGTAGAATTTTATGTTTGTCATTGTCGTTTTCCCAGCTTACTTCTCTCCTTGGAATGGGACCTGATATTTAGCACACAGAGCATTACCATACTTTTCAAAATTGGTCGCCATGCTGGATTTTTTCCTCGTGAAGATGGTAGAACTGCTGCTGCTCCTCCTGATGATGATGCACGGGGCTCACTTTATTAACGAGGAAGAAGACGGCAGGATAAAATCCGGCTTGGTCGTCATCATCAACTTATTTAGATGATTATCCCTTCTTCGTATTCCTCGTATTTGACATTATGATTGTGACCATCTTCCTCACATCCGCTGCCGCCCGCCCGCCCGCCTCCACCCACCCACCACGTTCTGCCCCCTCCCATTCCATTTCAATTTCCTCGAGAGAAAGCTTTTATTTTTCGGCAACAACTTTTCTTCTGATGACGTGCTTGAATAAAAAATGGCGTAAGCGAAACAACCTCAAGGGAACAGTATCACCAAACCAGCCGCCCCCGACGTTTTACTTTACGTCTCACTTGACAAATGGAACATTTTTACCTGATGTGAATCTACAAAATGAATTCATTACACGGATTATTCTAAATAGGGCAAATTTAAACTGACAGGAAGACTACTTGTAAGACTGAAAATATTTAGAAGGGCTAAGTAATAATGGGGGAGAAATTATGTAGGAATTGCAATTTCCCCGGATGATTGACAGGTCGTTATTTCCTTCGATAATGGAATGCATACATAGATTTTCAACGATTTGTGAAGTTAAATATGGGGAAAATGTTGTTTGCTTTTGTGCTGAAGGAATGAAATGCACACAAGTAAGTAGTGGATAATATGCAACCCTGGGGTAGAATTGGATCACTCGTTGACTTCATAGTCATCTCGCTTTCTTGCACTCGACCAGATTATTATTACGGAGAAAAAGAACGGGGAGGGAGGAAACTGGAGGAGAAGATCTGGAGAATATCCTCGAGGAGAAAGAAGCCTGGCTTATTTACTTTTTGCTCTGAATGAGCCATGGAACGGAGGATGGACGGAGGACCAATCTTTCTGAACGAATAATATCAGAGTGGACAACAGGGCGGAAAAAATATGTCTTTGTATCTTTCTTTCCCTCTCTCGGTGGTTAAAATGGAAGTCTGAAAATGACTGAATAAATAAAGGTGGGGTCACGATCCAGCAGACGGGTTGGTTCTCAGTCTGGTGAATAGTATCATACGCATCAGTATGTATGTAGTTTAGGCATATATAGCATTATTTGCATTTAGAACAACATTGATGAAAAATAGGCCATGGAGTAGATAAATTTGAACAAATCCTGGCCTAGTTGAGGTGAAAGTGAGTGGTTGGAGAGAGATAATTGAGGCAGATAACAGGTTGGCTATAATGTGATATGAATAGTGTTTAGATGGTCAAAACTGCTATTAGCGTGGGGAGAAAGCTTTCCACTTGTCGTCTCACTTTAGAAAATTAAGGAATTCACATAATTTTCCGTTTAAAGCTCTCATGCTTACAAAGCGTGGTTCCAACTTTCAAGTCATCTGCTCCTAAACGAAGTTTAACAGCTCAATTTATAAACTTCAGCCAGATCTGGGAATCCCGTACTACATGCGGTTCTGGAACTCAGGCATACATACACTTTCTCTCTCCAACGCCAAACAAACAACCAACGTCCTCCTCCTCCTCCTCCTAATGGGCTTAATACTAAGCTGAGTTTAGTTAGTTGCAATTTATGTCACTCCACCAGGAGAGAGAGAAGCGGAAAGTAAAGTTTCAAAGTTAATTATAAATTGTCCACTGCCAAAAATTGAGGAATGGAATAGTGATACGCTCCTCAAAAACAAAATTATAGACTTTGCGAAAAATTTTAATACAAGTTTCAGAAGCAATTTGAGTAATCCATTACCGTCTTTGGACACATTTTCGGTGCTGTTATTATTAGCACGTTTCGGCCCAGCGATGGGGTTCGGGTTGAATTGTTATTAAACATTTACACACAAACAGCAAAGTTGGATGGACAAGTGGAGGACTGTGTGGGAAGGTAGATAAGTGGAGTGACGCTGGTGGGGAGGAGGGACGCGGAACTTATCCTCCACCGATTTTAATGCCCTTTGGACATGTCGTACGTAGTACCCGATGAGTGTACCAAAACCTAAGTTGTAAGACTTCATGACCCCGCCACATCCACTCAAAGGTACGAAAAACACGAAGAAAGTCCCATTTTTGCTCATTCAAACCTTCACGAAAAGTCAAACTTTTGTCTAATTTCGAACATTCTTGCACCATTGCAGTCCCAGATAGTTTCTTTGTCATATTCAATATCAAACCTTTTTAAATTTCAATTTATTCAAAATTTGAGAATAAATATTGAAAATTTTCACAAAGTCTAGTTTGGTATTGGATACGAAAAAACAACTATCTGGGAGTATAATGGTGCAAAAATTTCCAAAATCAGACAGAAATTGAATTTTCGACGAGCCTTAGAATGTTGCAACTTTTGTTTTCCGTCCCTGTGAGTGGGTGTGGCGCCATGGTGTCGAACAACTGTACACTCGCCTAGAACTACAGCATACCCAAAAGGCATCAAAATCGGTGGGTGCAAAGTTCCGAGTCCCTCCTCCCGAGCTGGGCGGAAGACAATAGATATATGAGTTTTGGTGTGGGAAATGAGGGTAAAAGTGGATTTGAATAAATTGTATGACAACTCTTATGACATGTTTTATGTTTGTAGGTCTCACCTCCAAGGCCCTCACTCACTTTCTTTTGGCTCTGACAAAAACCTCGTGGGACGTACAGGCTTTAGTACACGCTGCGAAACTTGCCTATCAACTTGGTGCTGAGCAACTCTTCCAAGAGCTTTCCGAGAGGTGAGTTTAAGGCAGAAACAATTCTTTCGTAACGACAAGAACAACGTGCGGGTGACGTGACGTCCGATGCGTAAAACAACAGTTGAAAAATAAGTTAAAAATATGCACAAGAAATTTTCAGTTTCCCAAAAACAAACTTTCTCTTTCTGCGAATGTCACAAACAAAGCTGGCTCGATATGCATTTACAAAAGATCGGTTGGGGGTCTAATTGCAGGTGCTTATGTACATTTACGTAACAATGAAATAATCCAGTTGAATGCTTAAATTTGAAGAGAAAGTGTTTCTTTTTCATCTTTCCACCTTTCGACATTGCAGATCATAACCAAACAAAGAAATAGTATTGATTACCCGATAATACTTTTGTTCCAATGAATGGTAGAATTTGTCCTCCTGGAACTAGAACAATTCCAACACGGTGATGAGAACGGTGGTCAAGCAGTCACTTTACTCCTCCCCATAATAAATGGTGCTGTGGACGGATATGTTACCTAATGGAATTCTAATTAGCATATAGCAATTTGCGCGCAACTCTGTAGCCTAGCACATAGTTGGTGGCGATTGTGGTAAAGTTTATTTTGGAGCACGACTTGCTAATCACCTTCCAATCCCATTGGCAACATGCATGCAATTAATTGACGATATTGTAGACCACACAGTTTCAGGATTTACTTTCTCTCTCTCTTGTCCACCTCTGTAGGAAGGTACGTGTACTTAAGTTGGCTGGTGGATAGGTAAGCACATTCGCATCGAGTGCGTCAGCTATAAATCTTTAATTTGCTCGAGGGACACCTTCCTGGCAATAATCCACAGTCTTCTTGAGGTCGACCGAGTCTGGGAGGCTTGTGCGTACACCATAACATATTTATGTTCACCACGTAGCAAATAAGCGTATGTGGAATACGTTATTCCACCAGAGTTATTCTTTTCATTATGTTGGTCAGATCAGTTTGCGTCTAAAATGTGGAACAAAGACCGACGTAGTGCATACAATCTTCATTATTGCTCTCTACTACATATTCCACTTTTAACTACGCTCCAGAGATTTAATTAAGCCTTGCCTTAATAATATTAAGTTAATATTCTAGTACTTAGCATACCACAAGACAGCGCACATTTAATACCCACTCGCAGCTCGTACTGTATGTAATACTACATACGCAGGATTTATGCATAACCTGTTGGTAAATGGACAGGCAGACCATCGACACGCAAATTCAAGCATGTTATGAATCGACCACGGATTCCAATTCACTTAGGAAAGGATCCCAAGGGCAGATTAATAAATTGGTAAATTGTCATTTGCGTAAAGTGAAAACATTTCTGTGTCGGTGGGTTGTCATCCTAAGCCTAATCATTATTTGAATGTGCTTAAATCGTGTATTTCATGAAAAGCAATGTATCTATGTATAACGCAAAGCCACTAAATTTCCTCTCCGTATTTCCTTCTCTCCGCAGATTACTGAACATGAAGTTCGACCCCAGCGTGGGCTACATGCTGGCCACCACCTACATGGAGAAAGGGCAGCTGCTGGATGCAAAGTTACTGTTCGAAAAACTCTCCGAGGAATCCGATTCTTTCTACAAGGTCCATTATGTGAGTAACAATGGATGCCTTTCGTACGGCAACTTTATTTATTATTCCAATTCCAATCTCAAATTAATTTTCAGCCTCCCCTCATTCCACTTAATCTGTGGTTTGTAGCATGCATTCCTCACATTCTTACTCGACATAATGAGTATTTGATCCAAAAGGAGTGGCAAGGAATCCAATTTCACTTACTTAATAAATGCAAAGGAAAAGTAAAAGTTAGTTAAATTGGTGCAGCCGGTTGGAAATGTTTTATTGATATTCATCTGTCGAGCCATGCAGAGATTTATGTCCGCTCGGGACGGATAGCTTTTTTTTCTTCGATTCTTTATCACATCATTAATTGGTAACGTATTGACTGACTGGGATTATTGAATTTTATTATTGCAGACTCAACTCTTAATGAAAGTACGTCGCTGGTCGGACGCGGAATGGGCGATAAAAGGAATCGAGCGGAATGACCCTGACTCGGTGTGTTTATCGGGATTTCATGTTTCAGTAAGCAATTCACTTTCTTCCTCTTTACAACCAACGCTTTGGGTGAGGTCAAGTTTGCACAAAGTTGAAAAATGTAGTAATTTGTAAGGCTTATCCATTTCTGATTTTATTGTTGTTTATTTTCATCCATATTGGAGTATTGGGGTTTAACAACATTGCAGAGTGATAAGCGAAAGATGTCGATTGTAAGATTGCATAACTAGACACATAAAATGAGGCTAAATGATCTACTTCACTATATTTGAACGCTTAGCTAAGGAGTAATGTCCACTCTTACACAAGTGGACATGTAATCTCCGTCAGAAAACTTTTTTATGCGCAATGCTGTAACCGTTTCTAGAGGTCAATTCTCTCCTGAAATATGAAATGTACACAAAAATAATTGTTAATAGCCAATTATGGAATACGTTTATGCCACTAAAATAATGCCATTTGGAATTCATATCACTTGCATAAAAAGAATTAGCCATTTTTATTTTGAGAATCCAAGGAAAAAAGTGAAAAGTGAAAGTTTCCGAATTTCATTCGAAATGACCTCAAGTTTATCCAACATTTTATCACATTTACGTGCTTGGTGTAACGTTTTGCTCCTTCATTTTTCCAGGACCCGAACCATCCCATCTCGATCCTGCTCTTGGCCCAAATTTACGAAAACTTGAACAAGACGATGGAAGCGTACGACCTGCTGCACTGTGGCATAGATAACTTCTGTCCACAAGAGGCCAACTTATGTGCTCAGTTCTACAGCCAGTTGGGGAATCTCATGCACACCACCGGGGCCTTCCTCTCAGCTGCTAATGTAAGTTAATTCGCATTAAATACATTTTCATAAATTTTACACCAACTCCTCCTCCCTCCGCTCCTCGCCAAGCTTCCAAACACAAACGTATCGATATTGTGATCCACCAGGGTTCAGTTTTCCACTTTCTCCCCCCAAAATTAGAGCTCGCACTAGAACTACCTGTTTGGCTGACACAGAAAAACTCTAGGCGTCCACAAAGTCCTCCTGGAAACCCTGGTCTGGCAGGGCACCGAAGGATTGGAGCATGTCTAAATAGATCTAAGAGGGAAAGCACTTGTCTTAAAAACCCTGGAGAATTTTTTAACACAGTTGAGCTGAAGAGAAAGCGGACTTTGTGTGTTGAAAGAAATTTGCAAGTTTTTTTAACTCAAAGCCAAGCATGTAGGTTGGTTGGCTAGACGGTGGAGAGAGCCGAGGAGTGAAGGAGGATACACTAACTCCCGACTTGTTTGGTCCAAGTGAAAGGCATGTAGGAAGTAAAGTGTGTAATTCAAGAAGTTTACTCAGATAAGTTTTAATTAGTCTCAGCCAAAGACTGGCTGGCTGCCTGGATGACGACTACTCTGTGCTAGGAAAGAGCTCAATTAGAGACTTGTGTGCACATATTCATTATCATTCGGCTTAAGAATAAGTTTAGAAAAGACCACGGACATACATGCGTACGGCCCCACGCACACAATCCACGCACACAAATGTATGCCAAACAAATAGTCATGGGAGAGAAAGAAGTGTTACATAATATTGCTTGCCCCTTCGAGGAAGATGATTTAGGTGGCTGGTTGGTGAGTCTCTATCTGCATGCATATCTGGCTGTCTGCCTCGTCAGGAGTGTCCATGCTATAACAGTAACACAGACAGTGGTGATTCCCGTCAGTCTTCTTATCGTGAAGGGACGACTCATGCTGTTCTTACTAAATATGCACGAAACCATGGGACTATATAACTCCTCTTCCATAACAAATCAAGTTAAAGAACCAGCCAGTTTTCTCCTCATACTTCGGTATGCACAACTAACTAACTAACTAGGATACACGTTGGAATTTCTGAAACGGTTTGAACTCGGAATTATTTACCGTCTCAGTTTTATCCTTCCATCACAAGGACGACTTGACATTAGAAACAATTAAATTTCCATTAGGGTCCGAAAAAAGTCGATGATTTGTTGGAAATGTGTGCCAACGGGGAAAGTGGAATCAATTTGGAGCATATAGCCAACCAGCCCTCTATTTTATACACGTTGGTATTATTTCTCGCCCGAGAAAGAAAAAAAAGTTGCATGTATTTTACAATGTTGCTTCTTCTCTTTTGCAGTATTACGACATGGCAATCAAGTTCAACCCGGATTCAGTTCAAGCTCACACGAATATTGGGGCCATTTATCATCTCATGGTGAGTATTGCTTCCTCTCTCCTCTCATTTTTCTTCGCCTGGAATAACACTCAAGTCGTCACAAACCAGGGAAAAGCAAGAGAAACGTCTTTTTTTTATCAAAATTTGAAAAAGTCTCATCCCATTCTACTTGTTGTTAGTTGTTGTTAACAGGTTTGTACGAATACGTATGCATGCACGTGGTAGGCATATCTCTACGGAGACTCGTCATCCTCCTCGTTGTACCATCTGCAGAGGAGAAAGTTGTTGTTAAAAGCATGTTATAAAGTGAAGAGTCAATTCCACCATCCAACCAACTTGTAAATGATGATACGAGTTGAAGGAATAAGGCAGGCAGCCTAACAACATTTTTTCCTCTCGCACACACTTTTCAATATCAACAGGGAAGAAAGCTTTCTCCTAATGCGTTGCTGGGGCGGAGAGAGAGAGAGAGAGCTAACAGCGTAGATATTTTTGTGCTCATTGTTACCACGACTTTCAGAATTTGCACAAAAGAGGAAAAAAAGTTTAAACATTTTTTTTAGCACAAACTGAATTCCCAGTTCCAAACGTAATCTGGTGACTCACACTTTTTATTACGTTGTATGTTACTGCGACACATTGGATAAAAAAGGGAATTAGTTCCCATTTCACGCAATTAGATGTAAGGGTCCAGAGGAGCTCATTATTATTGTATTTGTGTTGCCTGCCCAACTCCATTCCTCTTGCTGCTCGACTTGATGAGGCGGAAGCAGTGGCAACAAACTAACTAAATCAACCATTCTGCTTACTATACGCATATGTGTGTATTTACTTTTCCACTGTTTGGTCGGGTTTCCCAAAACCCAAATCAAAAATCGGAACTAGAACCTTCCCCGTAACAAAAGGTTGTCGAATCGTGATGTGTGTTTGTATGCGTAAAAGCTCCGTCTGACATATGTGTGTGTGTGAAACTATTAAGTTCCAATTGAATAAATATTTACTTCAAGTAGGGCAGCCTCGTATGTAGACGTCGGGAGTAAATAAGTTGGTATCTGAGTGATGCATCTGTTCGTCCTCTGATATAATTAGGTCCAATTGTGCACGTATTGCATTGTGCAGGAGAACAACTTTGGCACATCTGCTCCTCCACAGAGAATACTGAATAATAAATTCCGTTTATGATTAGCACTGAGGAGTCAGAAGCTATTCAAATGAAAAATTTAGGTTTAATGGTTCTCCACGTTTTATTATTCACTTTACTACACACACATTTTTATCGTTGTTGGGAGAAAGAATTTGCAAAGAATATTCGACAGACAGACAGACAGAGAAGAGGTATTTGAATGGGTGGAAATATAGGAGCAGAGCAGCTCTCTTGTGGGACGGACTGGGCTTGTCGTATTATTTGCAAGTGAGCTGTGTGCAGCCCTTTTCTATTTATTCGTTCTTTCAACCATCATTCTCCTACATCATGTAAATATATTTGCCTGGAAGGAATTTTATGCTGAATACATGACTTTGTTATTTTTTGGAATAAAAAACCAAATTTTCTGCTCAAATGAGCCAGGGAGAGTGCAACATAGTTGTTTATTTGCTTAATAAAGTATTCGTAATTTTTATACGGAGCGAGATTTTAGCGACACGAGTAATCTTGGTCATGTAGTGATGCACCATGCATGAAATTGCCGACTCTCTTATTATTCTCATATGTAAGTCCTACCCAACCTCGTTTTCTCCCTCTCGCTGATAATGGTCTCTATATCTAATGATCTGTCGTGAAATTCACAGTCCTTGTCTTTCCCACACTTTCTCCATCCCAGCTCTGCATTCGTCTTTGTCTTTCTCAGAAGCCAGCGCCGAGAGAGAGACCAGAGTCGATTTGGAAAATGGTGATGCATAAATGTGTGTGCGTACGGAAATGGTAGTGAGTTTGGATCAACGTCAAAATTTGAATTCCTTCGTCTCCCAGCCCCACCTCCTCTTCCTTCTCCATCCATCCATCCATCCACCATTCTTGAGGACTGGATTCTATTTACAATAGCCGTGGTAATAATAATGTGTGTGTGTGTGTGTTTCTATGAAGTACAAAAGAGACGAGGGAAGTCATTAGCCTTTCGCCCTCAAGGAGGTCTCTCTCCTGACTCTCCCACTTCACAATTTGGCCGGAATTTAGAACACTAATGAGCTAGTACACACCCATTATTATTTAGCATTCGAGTGCGTGAGATCTCAATGTCAGGACTCAGGAGTATGATGAAGAATGTGTTGTTATTGCTCATGAATGAGTTGAGGAGGAGGAGGGGAGAAAGGGTTGAGTTGACTTTTCGGAGGTGGCGAACTACGCCCGAGGTGCATATGGATGTACGTACGTAGATCACCTTATTATTTGCAGAGCTATCTTTGAGTTTGTTGTTTGTACATATTTGCCGACTGATACCCATGGCATCTGTTTTCTATGTTTAAATATGGGCAGGTGTGCACAGGGCATTTTCTTGAATCAGAGAGTGAGTCAATAAGTTGGACGACGCTGTTGGTGATGTGGCGTCAAGATGTGAAACGTTTCCAGCGAAGGGAGCAGATATCTTGGTAATAATAACTCGCTACCACGACCAACCAGCTACTCATATTTATTGCAAAGATAAAATATTTGGATAATTCTAAACAAAGGAAAGTTTAGTCTGGAAGAAGAACAAGGGATTTGAGAGCAGAGTTTATCAAAAGTTCATTCAGCCGGAAGAGGTGATAGCTACTACGAACGCAGTGGCAAAGAGAAAATCAAGCAAAGTGTGTATGATGCTCCTGTTCAGCAACACAAAGTTCAAACACAGCCCCACCAAAGGGAAAGTTAACTTGGGAAGAGTTCATAAAATATTATTATTTCCCACAGTAACACCCAGTTTCGTCAGCATATTTCCCACAACCAAAACCTAACAACATCCGCCACACTAAAATGCAAACTAACTATCATCACTTTGCATCCTCCTTCTCCTTTGAGTGAGCAATAATGCCGTCCAAGCTGCACATTGCGAGTGAATTCATCTGGTTGAGTGGGATAAGGGACGCAGAAATGTCATCAGGTCCGAACAAACTTGGTGAGATTTCTCCGCCGAACTCGAATCAGGTGTCAAAAAATGTCTGATTTATTTAAACGCGTGTTAATAGCGAGTCACATATTTATACTCGCATTTCATGGTAAGAAGTTACTCCAAGGGTATAGTGTGCGCATCCTATAAGATAATTGTACAGCAAGACGAGAATACTTCACATTATGCGCTCATTTGAAATCTGGATGACGGCAGAAGAACAACTGGGCTCATCTATTGATTGGAAAGTAGTTCGCGTCGGCTGGTCGTCGGACAATAGTTGTCAGATACAAACCTTAATGAACTTTCTCCCTCAGCCAGTCAATCTCCTGTGTGTGCTCGCCTCCTCTCCGTCTCTCGTCTGAGCTGATCCTGAGTCTACTTGTCGATTGACTCTGCTCAAGAGACTCGTCCTTCTACACACAAACTGACAGTGAGAGCAACACAAACCAAACTTGGTTGCATGTAATAATAAGTGTTTGATAGAGAGCAGATTGGAATTGGATGGATGGGTGATTAACATTTTCCCCAAATTTCTACTTACTCTCATCATCATCATGATGATGAGGATGGAGGTCTGTTCCTGAAATCAAATTGGTTTCCAGTTTAACTGTCTGCGACTCAATTCCCACTTTTGTTTTCAGACTAAAACTGTCAACGAACAGGAGATTTACCTTAGCATGATCTCAATCAACTATTGTCGTATCGCAGATGGGATTGGATATTATAGTTCACTGGGTTAACGACTACTACCACTTTGGGCATACTCTCCTCCTCCTCCTCCCAGTATAAATATGCAAATGTAGTAGTGTGCATATATATAGGACCGGGATCACATAATGTATGTAGATGGGAGATACGATAGTAATGGGTATACGTACATACATACGTCAGTAAAACTGGGAGAAAACACGAATCTTATTATACGTAGTGAAAACAGGGCTAAGTAATGTGTCGCTGTTGTTCAGTAATTGTAATTGCAGTAATAACAGAGAGAGGTAGACTACATACATAGGAACTAATATGTCTGGTATGCAAAACTGGGTGAAAATCTCAGCAGTCCTCCTCTTCCGTTTGTTAGGCAGCCTACATTTCGGCGAGGAGGTAATGAATGAAAGGATAATTAATGCGATTAGGATTTTCGGTACAAATGCCACACACACACACATGTACATATTCGCACACGCAAGGGCATTCCTCGCTGCACGACGGGGTGAAACTTATGTTCTGTATACGTACGTACGTATGTATGTATGGGTACTAATCTGTTTAAAAGGGATAATTGGCTGGTTCTTGGTATACGTATTGCCCGCATTCATGTGAACATTCCGTTCCCTATCCAATCCACCTACATCCATTAGCTTATCTCCAAGCCCATAATTATTATCAAGTTATTTACTTAAAAATTAAGGATTGTATCAAACATGGGTCAATTTGTGCTAGATTTAGGGTTAAAAAATACACATTACAAAATTTTGCATATTTTGAGTTGTTTATTACTATTTTGATGTTTATAATAACTTCACATTAAGTATGACAGTTAGTTAACAAGCAGAAAGCGAGGCGATTCATTTTCACGGCACGGGTCTTAGGAATTGGGACTCTTACATGGGTGTATAAATAAGTGAATTGAATATTATATGCCAATTGGACAGCAAAGGGGGGAGTCTGCAATTAGTTACCCGTTGACAACACGCTTCCGGCTCCTTACAGGCCAACAATTTAACTTTTATGTCACTCCGAGTTTCCCAACCCCTCGTTCATGTCAGAAAGGTTGTAGCGAGCGGTGAGTAGTAATAATATCAGTGCCTGGGAGTAGAAAGGCAGCAGGTACATAAGTAGAATTGGACGGACAGCTCCACACAGGAGAGAGAGAAATTATGTCAGGCTGTGCTGTCCGTCAAATTGAAAAATTCTTGTACATATCGTGAATTATGAGGAGACAGTGACCCAGGG